AAAAAGACCCATGTTTCAAAGGAACCAGATCTGATAAGGGGGCAGAAATATTTACTCCATTATTTCAAGAGGCAGGGTCTTTGTTTCTCAGACGCTTCCTGTTTTAAAAATAGCTTTCCACAACTGTTCCAGGATTAGGATGTCCTTTTAAATGCAATTGGCTTTGAAGATGCAATTCTGTTTACTTGGAGAGAGTTGCAGACCAACAGTCAACCTTTTACAAAAGGCTGCTTAGACCAGGTACCCTGAACCCTTGGTCTCTGGCCCCGGAGCTGGGTCACTGGCAGGTGGGCAAGGAGGTGGGGAAGCAGCTGCCACAGGTGGGACCTGCAGTGGGGCGGGGTAGGGGGGCACCTCCTAAGGGGACAGGCTTCCAGCCATCGGCCAGTACATCAGTGATGTCACCAAATCAAGTCGACGCTCATGTGCAGGATGTGACTAAAGGGAAGGAAGGCGTGACTCTTAGTTGTAGGTGTGATCGCGGCCTGGCAGCTGTGTGAGAAGATGCCCACCTTTTTGAGTGACATGTCCTTGAATCTGGAAGGATGAAGTGACACGGGGACAGAATAGCCTTTACAGCCTGTCTGCAAAGGGACTGGGGGAGGGAAGGCGGCGGACTGTGACAGCAGGCCACGCGTGTACAGGGTATTCACGGTACTCTCCTTGCTGCTATTATGCTGGGAGATTTTCATAATAAATGCTTTCATACTGGACACTCTATTTTTTTTTTTCAGGAAATTGTGTGCTCCTTGCCAAGGAAGAGGCAGAGAGAGCCTGTGGGAGTGGGGATGGTATCGGCATATTTGAGGCTCGGTTATTTGCACAGCAAGCAGGTGTGCGTGTTTGTGTGTGAGTATCCATGAGTGTGTGTATAAGGCTGGGGAAAAAGGAAACAGGATTTAAAATTGACTTGTAACGTTTTTGGGGTGGTGGTGGTGGTGGTGGTCTGAGAACCGCTGCCGACAGCATGAAAACTTCAAGGACACCCCCCACAAAACAAACAAGAAGAAATACACAAATGTATTCTCTGGGGTTCAAGGATTCCCTGAAGCCCACTGCACCCCTCTGGGTAAGAACTCCTAATTCAGTGCCTGGCCCTCCATTTCTAAGACATAAAGAGACTCTGTACCTCTTCTACGTGGCAGTGCATACATAAAAAAGCAGCAGGCAAGATGAAACAAATCTTTTCTAAGGCCAGCAGAACACCAAGCCACCACCTCTCCAGGGCTTCGGGGCTCTGAGCAAATGAGCACAGACACTGAGCCTGTTTTTCCATCAGGAAAATCCATTCTCACCTCTCCCGCCTCACCTGTAAGGTGGCTCTGAGGTCAGAACAGAAGGATGCAAGTTGCATCACCCCAAAAACCGTGAGCTTTTCACCTTGTACTCAAACGTGGAGGCGTGACCAGCTTGGGGACGGTGACACAGTGACTTCCCCAAGGGGATACACGATGGTCCCACCTCAGCAGGAGGAAGCCTTAGGAACCATCTCAAGGCACATACTGGAAGCTCCTCCCCCTTCCAGAGAGGATTAGGCGCACATCAGAGCTCAGGGAGCCCACAGGCCCACATCACTGCTGGTGACGGAGAAGCAAGGCCGTCTCATGGGCACCAGGGAAACTTGGGGGCCTTTCGTCCAAAAACCGTCCAGAAATGGGCAATTTCCAAGGACCCAGACTGCCTGGGGTGATCTCCACATCCCCTACCCTACCTCGATTCACGGTGTCCTCTCAGCCTCACCGTGAGATGAGTCTAGGTCACCGAATACCTGGCTCTGAAAAGCTGCCTTTTGGAAAGCCCGTCTGTCTCAGATGAAGGTTAACATCCGCAGCGACATGGTGTTTGGTGATGGGGACTCACTTCACCTCTGTGCTCAGCCCCAACCTGTCACCTCGAGTCCCAGCAGGAGGAAAACCTCAAACAAGCCAAACCGAGGGCCATACTGTGAGGCACCTGCCCAGCCGCCTCCACACTGCCATGGTCTGCAAAGACAAGTGGGTCCGCAAAGACAAGCAGGTCTCCTGCCTAGGAGACAGGACAACTAGATATTACACAGTGGGGGTCCTGGGACAAAAACTTAAAAACACGGAATAAAGTGTGACCTTAATAGTAATTTCTTAGTATTGATTCATGAATTCTAACAAACATACCATGTTAACGTGTTCAGCACGGGGGAAGTTATGCGGGGTTTATGGGAACCCCTTTGTATTATCTTTGTGACTTTTCTGCAAATCTAAAACTGTGTCTAAAACGTCAAGTTTATTAAAATGTAAGAATGAGTTGGTAAATACCTGTCTCAGGGTGATTCCCCGGGTGAGATAAAGCCGATAAAGCCCGTGGAGTCAGGCGGCAGAGAGGCAGCATGCAGGGGGGCGGGGGTGAGCAGCTCCACCTTGGCTGGGGAAGGGAAGCCGGCAGGGACCTTGGCCCAGAGACACAGAACAGAGAAGGGTCTCAGCATCCACCCCACCAGGAGGGGCTGGGGCCATGTCCCCTGAGATTTCCCAAAGAGGCTAATCCTGACAGGGAACACTGTGGGCCTGCCGTCCTGGCGTCCCCAGCTCCTCCCCTTCCGAGCCTGCGCAGCCTTGGGGGTCAGAGGCTCTCTGCCACATTTCTCAGGATGAAGGCTGTGCCCAGGCTGCTCAGATTCAAAAGATTTATCATCTTTGTCTGAGAGAAGTTGACCTGGGATGTCTCATCTCCCTGGGGACAGTGAGAAGAAAAGCTGGGCAGATCTGCAATGTCCTTGGCAAATCCTGAGCTCATCCCCAGTTATGTCCGAGCTTCAGGAATGTTCTAGGGGATTTCAGCTGAGTTCGAATGGCTAACTCTCCCACCTCCCAACCCTGACTATGGGTTTGTTTCGTGGTATGAGGACTGCCTAGTGGCCTCGCCCCCCATGTAGACCAGCCCTCAGTGAACTGTGCAAGAATCTTTCTTCCAATTGCAGGGCCCTTACCAAGGGCCACCCGCTCTAGGGACAGTGAGGTTACTACCAACCATCTCAGAAACCTTCTGTATCCTGGGGTGCCCCCTACAAACTTCCCAAATTGGCTCTGTGGCCCTAGAAGCTGCTCAAACACTGAGGATTTAAGCAAGAATGTTCCATCTGGTTTTCCACCCACTGTGGGGCTGGTTCGCCTCTGTGACACCACACGTGAAGGTTACTGCAAGGAAAATAATATTTAAGTGAAAGGGGAAAAAAAAAGATTGTTTTGTATTAAAATATTTTATATTAATCATTCAAACTTAATTTTATACAACGAATGCATACATCGCCCAGGTGTCTGTCTCCGAAGGGAAGTCGGGGAGGCATGGGGGTGGTGCGCTGGGCGCTGGTACGAGCAGATGAAAGGCAAGGAGTCACCGCGCTTCCTCTACTTGTCCTGTGCTCCAGGTGGAGGAAGAAGACCCGGTGCTGTCACTCCACAGGGACGCCGCGGAGAGGAGCGTCTGCAGGCACCTCTCCGGACCTCTCTGCTAGGCGAGCCCCCAGAGCCCGAGGCCCTCCGACCAGCGAGTCCTTGACGTAACAGTGGCTGTGACATGTCACAACGCGAACGGGGACCACTGTGAGCGTGTGTGTGCGTGTGTATGTGTGTATAGATAGACTTGAGTTTTCTCCTTTTGCGAAACCGCCCCCGTGGCCGTCCCGCCCGGCGCTCGTGGCCGCTGACCGGGGCCTAGGCGGCGGGCATGTCGGCCTTGCTGAGCGCGATGGCCAGCTCTAGGTCCTCCTGCTCCTGTCGCCGCAGCCGCGCCAGCCTCTCCTGCTCCGCCTTCTCGCTCTCCCGCTTGGCCCACGCCAGCTGCTGCTCCTCATTGCCAAACTGCAAAGGAAAATGGAGGTTGGGTTACTTGGCCTGGGCGCTGCAACCTGCCGCTCAGGGGTGGGGGCCGGGGCCCGAGGACGCCCCTCGCGTGCTGTCAGGGTGCAGGGAAATGCAGTGCTGGGGGGCACTGGGCGGGGTGGGGCTGCCTGGCGTGCACGTGAAAGCCAGACAAAGCCAGAAGCCCAGGTCTTGGTTGGGAGCCGGGAGGGGACACGCATGGCCCAGTCCTGACCCGCAGTCGCATGCACTGAGAAACAGGGCTGAGTCTGACCCCAACTACCACTCGGACCTCAGAGAAACCAGCCACCCGGCCCCCTGCGGGAAACCAAAGCAGGCAATGCTAGGCATCGGTCTGGGGACACGGGGAGTTCCCGTGAGTCCCGGGTCCGAGTCTCCGAGGCTTCACAGGGTGAGGGACAGGTCCCCGCTCCGCTTGGCCTCCTCTCCGGGCACGGTGGGGGCATCTCTGAGAGCGGCCGTGGAGCAGAGGTCAGCTGAACCGAGGAGCTCGAACAGCGAGCCTCCAGCAGGCCGATGACACCAGCGGGTGGGAGGCGCTGCGACTGGAGAGCTCTGGCAGCGCACGACTTTGCGTTTAAACGTGCACGGACAACACGGTCCTGAATGTGGCCTCTTTACCCCAGCCATGGCCCGGGGGGCACCAGACTCACTAAGAGCCACCAGCTACTTCAACATTTATAGAAGCCCTGGCATTAATGCTGCCGATCCATCTGGGAGTTCTTGAGGTCCTTTTCCAAAAGGTTCAGTTAAAAAAAAAAAAAATGGGATCCCTGGGTGGCGCAGCGGTTTAGCGCCTGCCTTTGGCCCAGGGCGCGATCGTGGAGACCCGGGATCGAATCCCACGTCGGGCTCCCGGTGCATGGAGCCTGCTTCTCCCTCTGCCTATGTCTCTGCCTCTCTCTCTCTCTCTCACTGTGTGCCTATCATAAATAAATAAAATAAAATAAATTAAAATATATATATATATATATATATTTTTTTTTTTTAAACAAGGGAGGAAACCATTTTGACACCAAGATGGGTGGTTTCAAACCATTCAAGGTATCTTAGCTCTATGGAAAAAAAAAGCAAAGCTAGACCTCATGTGCTCTTCCCCTGGTGTGGGTCTCTAGTTCCCCCACGAGCCCCAGTCACATGCCCCACACCCCTGAGCAAAGCTGCGGCCTGTCCACAGGCTCGGCCTCCCTTTGCATCTCTCTCCTCTGCACCGGCTTGGCCAGCTCTCTGCGGAGCACCAGGCGACACCAAAGAAAGAGGCAGGCCGGCCCTCTGAAAGGCACCCCCTAGGAGCAGACATACAAACAATACCAATTCGACACAGGCTTCACGGAGGCCTGTATAGACCCCACTGGGAGCACTGGGGAGGGAAGCATGACAAATTCAGGACTACTTCTTCACGCATGTACTGAGAGCCTGAGTGACAACCTGGGAGGTGAGCTCCTCTGGCAGGTGGGGACGCGGAGGCCTGGGGAGATGGGGGCAGTGGCTGCAGAACCTGGGCCCTCAGCAGGCTGGACTTTCTGGGTCTGGGTGAAGGGGGTGGGGGCAGTCAGCTACAGCTGCAGGGTTGGGGCAACAGGGCACCTCTGTGAGTGTAGCAGTGGGTGGGGGGCGTCGAGCACCCAAGCCTGGTGCTGCCAAAACGGAGCACAGGGTGGGAGGGACCAGACTGCCAGGGGTTTGTGCGCAGGTGGGTGGAGGGGTGCGGTGAAGGGAGCCTGATCTGGACCACATGAGGCCGGGAGAAGGAGATGAGGCAGGAGAGGAGGCCTCCTCCACATGGCCTTGGGGGTCAGGTGGGGACAGGTGTGGGGTCAGCGTGATGAGCTGTCCCCAGGAAGAAAGCCTGAGTTCCAGTTTCTTAGAGAAACTAGCCAGGAAGCATTCTGGGGCTGATGGGTCTCCAGGTAGGACTCCATGGAATGCAGCCCTCACCCCTCCTGTTGCCACCGCCCATCACAGCAAGCCTCCACCCTCACACTCCCTGGGGTTTTTCCAACAGCTCATCAGGAGAAAAACAAGGAAAAAAAACCCACAAATACTGGCAGAAACAGCTCCCTGGTGCTGCTGACAGCAGCGGGAGAGGACAGCATGGCTGACAGGGACCTCGCCCTCGTCAGCCCAGTTGGGGAGGGTGGGGGCTGACAAGTAATGCCCAGGGTGATCCCGCCACAGCCTGGATGCCAGGCCAGGAGGGGTCAAGTATCAGTGGAGACCATGTGGCCACACTATGATTCCTGCCCAGCCCCAGAGTCTCAGGATGTCACTGCAGAGCCTCCTGCTCAAGGGGTCCCCATTTTCAAATGAAATGTGCTGACAGGAACATTCCAGATGCCTTCAGAGCAGACTGGATTGGGGCCGGCTTCTGGATCCTGTCTGGAGACTTGCACAGAGCATGCGCTGTTTGTGCGTGCTGGAGAAGCAGGCTGGACCGTGGTGTCCGTGAGACGACCTGGAGGGAGAGGGTTGCTTGTAGCTCCCTCTGGGCCTCCAATCAGCACAAAGGCCTCTCTCGGCCCCAGTGGAGACCCCTTGACTAGGCCACTCGGATTCTCCAACCTGCATGCATCGTGATGGCCAGAACCTGGGGCGCCTGTGGGTACAGCTGCCACTCCGTGAACGGCAGGTGACTCCTGCTTCACCCCGGCGCCTTCCTGGAGCTGAGACAGCTGGGCACAGAATGCCGCCCTGCCACAGCATCTCCCGTGTTTGGGGAGGATGCTACATGGTTTTCCTTTAGCAGCCTCTCAGCAGAAATCCAGGATTCAGAAGACTCTGCACACGAAGGCACCCGGGGCCATTCCTCACTGGGGCCTGAGGCATCCGACGGCACCTCCTGTTGGCTCACTTATGCTGCTGTGAGAATCGCATCCAACTTGTCCAATGGTGCACAGCATAGCACATCCCATCTGAGATTTGCTCTGCTCTTAACACAAACTTCCGGAAAAAAGTCGTTTTGCTAACCTATAAAAGCTACTTCCTAATAAACACATTTGCCTGAGACAGAAAGTCTTGTTTTTTAAGAAATCTTGGAGACGTTTCCTGTGACTAGCTACAAGCACAAGTAACCCATTGATGGAAACTCAGGGCTCATAAATTAGAGGCTTCCAGAATGGCAGGACCAGGGCGCCAACGGGGGGACTGCACACGTGTGTGACATCAGCTTCCCTGGACTCCAATGTGGACCACGTTGCTTATGCATGGGTAACAACATGTCTTGGGGGCTCTCTTAGAACATTCACACTGAAAGAGTCATGGTGCCAGTCTACTGGGCAGCAAGGGACCTCTCAGCGTTTACTTGAGGAAACACACAACCCGGAGGGACCAACTCTGGCCTTTTCTGAGTTAGCACAAACCTCCAAGGTCTAGCAAACCAGAGCCCACTGGCCAATGGACTGCATCCCCGGATGTCACAAAAATGCAAAGACATCCCAAGTGCCCTGAGGTGGGACAAGTTGACCATTTTTGAACTATGGTATGACTGAAGGGGACAAAATCAAACCAGTTAGGTGCCCTGCCTATCCCACACTCCATCCTATCAGAGGGGTCAAATCTCATTGTTGGGTATTTCCTCTGGGAAAACTGGGGCATACGAAGCAGGAAAGGTGATTTTAAACAAAGAACAGCAGGGGTACCAACAAGGCAGAATCTGACCCACCACTAGGAAACAAGGATTCAATATTGAGAATGTTTCTGGAATGACCAGAAATAGTGGGCCAAATGATAGCTTAAAACCTAGGATTTTTTTTTTTTAATATTCTCCCCCAACCAGCCATCAGGGTGAGGGTTGGGGGGAAACACAAACAGAATCCTGCATTTCAGAAAGAGAATAGTTATTTCTCCAAATTACCAATCACATCTACTTACCCCTCGTCCCTACCCAAAACAGAGTACCTGAATCATGCGTGAATAGCTCTCTTTCTCTCATTGGCATTTAAATTTTTTTTCCACCAAAACACAAATGCAGTACTATTCAAGAAACTGTAGATAAAGCGGGTTTTGTTTTTGGTTTTTATTAATAACGTCGCCATTTGGATACATCCCGGTGTGCACTGGCTGTCAACAAAATTGAGCTAACTGCAGTCGTAAAATATTTACAGGTCGCCAAGAGCCGGGAATGTGCAGTGTCTTGGGCGACTGCAGTAAGACACAGGATAGCTGTGCACGCGAGGTGGATCTGAAGTGCATCAGGCACTCACTGGGCCCTGCCAGGGCAGATCTGGTTTTAAGAGAGAGAGATTCTAGGAGCTGGAGCATCTATTAAACAATACATCTCACCCCGAACCGAACCAGGAAACAAAGGACTTTGCAAATTAGAATGTAAAAACAGTGCACAACGGACGGTGAAACCAATTCTGGGAAGATGACATCTGAAGCTCTCTGAGAATAAGGTTCTTGGTACCGAGGAAGGTGTACCGAAAACACCCCCCAGTGACAGCGTTTCACAATCCAGAATGTTTTGCACACCGAGAAACAACAGCCAGGCTTTCCAAGTCCCAGGATTAGCTTCTGAAAAGGCACTTTGCTTTGTTAAATGGCTCCATGAGGGTTAGGGTTTTGGTTTGGCAGAGGGAAAAGGGCTTCAGAGCAGTTGTTCCAGGCTGGATCTCTTTCCATCATAGCTGGGAACTGAAATACATTCTAAAAAATCAAATTGCTCTTCCTCTGCATGCCCTGCCAAGGTCCTTCGATTCTCACTTGCTGCTCAAAATGCCCTGGGGTGGGACCGTCACAGCTCTCGCCCAAAGACCCTTTTGAGGACAGTGAGACCCTAATGGGACTTCTGCAATCTTGTGTGCGTACTTCAGAAGCGTCTGACCCCTCAGCTTCCAAAAATCCATCAACACAACGGCCTCCGGGCCACAGAAATGATACAGTCTACCAGGGAGGGCGGAAACAGGTACATCTAGCCACCCTGCTGGAAGAGAACATGCCCTTATCACAGAGTATCCAAACTGTAGCTCTTTTCTTTTCTTTTCTTTCTTTCTTTTTTTTTTTTTATTGAGAAACTGTTGTTCTTACACAAAGTAGCAGTACAGAATAAATAACACAAATGAGAGCATGGAGGTACCGGGAGACATAAACCAGGCTTGCCATTTCAAAGAGACAAAAAAAGAACCCCAAAGAAGCTGCAAAGCGGAGGGTGGAGGGGGTTGGCGCGGAGGGAACTCAACTTACAGAGGTGAAGTCTGCAAAGCCCAAGGAAGAGGCTTTAGAAGGTTTAGCTGAAGAGGAGGGAGCAAATGGATCTTTTCCACTAAACGGGTCCCCAAACCCCTTTTTATTTTGGAACGGGTCACTGCTGTCAGCCCCAAGTGGCTGGAATGGATCGGGGGGCTCGGGAAAGTCTGCAGAACCAAGCTGGCTTACAGGTGTACTTTTACCTGGAAAGTTTAGGAGAAAAAAAAAAAAAAGAAAAAGAAAAAAGAAAAAAAAGAAAAACAAGTTACTGACCACGGACAGAACAGAGTCCTGACTGAGGAGGAGGGCAGCGAGAGCTGGCAGGGATGCCCTCTCCCTCTTTGGAAAGGGCCAGGATGTGGCTCGCTGGGGAAACAGATCCCAGGGGCATCCTGGATGGATCTCGCTTCACTCTCACCTTATCTCGGAGGCTTAACAGGGTTGTGGGCGACACAAGAAAACCACTTCAGACAGCCCCCTCTCTTCCCCACCCCGCTCAGCTAAAATTTACTGTCTTTACCAAGTTTACACACAGGCATGTTTCAAAGGGACTCATTTTAGTGAGGCAACACATTTACTATCACAATGAGTTAAAAAAAAAAAAAGTCATGGCTGAGCAGAAAAACACACTGCAAGCTTCTAACAAAAAAAAACAACAACAGGGGGTGGGTGGAATGGGGGGGTAGGTGGAGAGGTATTTACAATTAACAGGAGTGATTAGTTTCACAATATGGGAAAGAGTTAGCATTGGTTGTGAGGGTCTAGAGGCAGCTCACCAGACAACCGCCTCAGCTGTCCTGAGGGTTATGATCTGTGTTTAGCTCCTGCTTCTGCCTTTTGGTGCAGGTGGCTCCAGGAGGCAGGGTTTGGGCCTTTCTGGGCTCTTGCTGAGAGGGTGGCACTAGGATGCCTGGGTCCTAGCAATGCAGATGACGGCCGGACACGTGTGGGATAGACGGGCTCAGAATTAGAGGGAACCAAGGTCATGAGGCCATGCTTGGGGCAGTGGCCTGAGGGTAGGTAGCTTCTCCTAACAAGTCCTGCCAATGTGCCGGAACATTCCACTGGGAACCAGGGGCCTCTCCAGGTCTGCCTAGCCAACACTTGATGAGCTTCCAGTATCTGCCAGTTTCATAGGCCAGGTTCCTGCCCGAAGCCACTCATTTGTCCAGTGGCTGGCCAGGGTGGTTGGGGCACCAAGAGTGAGATATTGGATGTAGTCCAAGCCCCAGGTTAGAGACTCCAATTTGTCAGTCCAGCTGCTTATAGTTACTCTTACAATTTCAAAACTAATGTGCACAAAGAACCCAAAAGCCATGGGCCACATTCCACATATGACTTTGGACATCTAGGTGCACATCCAGAAAATCCCCCCAGCCCCAAGGGGTACCTGAGCCTGGGACACCTGCCTTCCTCACCCAGCCAGCCTCTGCCACATGACCTGCCAGCTAGAGAGACCACCTGGCTCAATCTCCATGCCCAGCTCTTAAAACCATGCTCTCTGATGCCACATTTCCAAAGGCTCCAAGGTGTCTTCCTAGAAGCTCTGGAGCCACAGCCTGCCTCTGCTTCTTTCAACTCCAAGACCTCAACCAGGACAAGCACCTCGGCCCTAGATGGCCTCAGTTTCCTATGTGTGAAGTGGGAAGGAAGAGGCAGGGGTCTGATGCACAGCGCTCTTCGGAGCAGCATGACCTGTGCCCCACTCTGAGGCTGCTCTGGCACCTTGTACCTTCTCGGTCACCCTGCTGGCCCCAGGCAGTGCCAGTAGGACTCGCGTGGACCAAGGCAGGGGGCGGGGGAAAGGGAGAAGGGGAGGCTGAAGCATAGGTCTGTCTCTCCCCGTGGCCTCCAGCTGAATCATAGGCATAGTGGGTGGGCCCTGTGAGCTAGAAGGGTCCCTGACAGAAAGCCTTTGCTAAAGCGCCTAGGTGGGCCACACTGACACCATGCAACAGGAATTAGGACTTCTCTCTCCCACAGCAAATGACTTGTCAAAGCGAAGGCCTGGGGGTGCCACCCCCACTTTCTGTACAGTCGAGTCTTTACCAGTGGTATCTCCTCCTCTATCCATGACAGAGCCCAGATCTTCAAGCTCTCTCCAGCACCAAATGCTCCTCCCTGACATTCACTCTCCCACCTCCTCCCCGTTCTGGATCCCAGTGCCCCCCGGGCTACAGAGAGCAGGGTGCTCTGGGTGCCTGCCACAGCTTCCCTGGCTTGTCCCACTGGCCCTGAAGACCTGCCTCCCCCATGGCCACTATGCACAGCCAGCCTACTCCCTGGCCTGAGGGATGAGCCAATAGGTCAGTTAGGCTGACCAATGGCTGCTCCTCTTCTCGGCTTCCTGCCTGGAAGGCCATCCCCACCCAGCAAAGTGGTCTTCTAACATAGAGCTGATCCTCATGCTGCATGGATCTCCCAAAGGCTTGAGGTTGCCCTAGAAATATCCACCCACCAGCCTCATCCACCTGCCACTTGCCCTACCACCACGGCCACCTCTTGCTCTGCCTAGCTCAGGCCTTTGCATCTGTTGCTCCCAGGCTTGGGAGGCCCTTCCCCTTGTGGATACCAAACACTAGGAGGCTGCCCCTCTCCCCTTCTGGCTGAGATGCTTCCCTGTCTACTGCTCTGCAGCCATCGTGACATTCTGTCCTTACGTCACATGTGTATTTCTACTCTCAACAGAATGTAAGCTCTGTGAGGCTGGGGCCCTGCTGTCCACAGTGCAAGCTCCTCTGCCCCCCGCCCCCCACCACACCCTGCCTTGGGCCCATGTTTCCGCCCATCTCGTGGTGATTCCCAAAAGCTCCACAACCCATGCCAAACTCTTCCCAAACTCCTCTTCCACCAGCCCTCCAGGGCCTAAGTGGCACCTCCTTTCCTGGGAACTCCCCCAACTCAGGGCTTTTATCTGGCTGGTCCCTCTGCCCAGGATGCACTCCCAACTACTGCCCTCTTGAGGAAGCCCCTGTGCACTCCTGTCCCCCTGTTCATCTCTTCCAGCCTAGTCCCGGGGCAGGCCACATTTACCCCTAGAAGACGGGGAACAGCACAGCAGCACCCACCCCCACCTTGTTCCCAGACTCAGGGGTTGTGATGGGTTGAACTGCATCTTTGAACTGCACAAATTCCTAACGTTGTCTTTACTCCTAGCACCTCAGAATGAAACTGTTTGGAGATGGGGTCTTTGATACGGTAGTTGAGTCTAAGTGAGGTCCTATGGGTGGGTGCCAGTCCACTAAGACCGGTGATTCCATTTGAAGAGGAGACTAGGACACAGACATGCACAGAAAGAGGAGGATGTGAAGACACAGAGGGAAGATGGCTAGCTACCAGCTAAGGAGAGCAGCCCTGCTAACGCCCTGATCTTGGCCCTCCAGCCTCCAGAGCCACGAGATAAGGACACACTTCTGTTGTTTAAGCTGCGCAGCCCGTGGCCCTGCTCTGGCAGCTCGAGCTCACTCACACAGGGTCAGGGGAAGGCCACCCTGTGGGGCTGCCAGAGTGGTCACCCAGAGGAGGGGTCGACCCACGACACGGCTGCCCACTGTTGTAACTCAAGTTTTACAGGCATGCCAACGCCAGTAAGCTGGGCCAACTCATTTGTGTGCACTCTATGGCGGCTTTCATGCCACAACAGCAGAGCTGAGCAGCTCGGATAATGTAAGGCCTGCAAGGGCACAAATAGTGACTCCCTGGTCTTTCGCAGGAACCCCGTGCATACTGGTGGTATGGAGCAGGCGCTAAGCTCAGGCACCTGCCAGGCGATGAGCACAACACATGCTACTGCCAGGTGATCAGGCCCTTCTGGGACACTGAAGGATATTGTTGGCCCCAGGGAGGACCCCAAAGGAAACAGAGGACCCTGGATTGCAGCTCTGACAGAGTCACTCAGAAGCTCTGTGTGCAGCATGGTGGCACCTGCAGCCTCCAGAAAACGTTACCTTCCCCATGGTCTGCTTCACAGGCACCTGCCCATCCCGTCTCCTCAAACACCTCTCAGTACCCTCTTTCCCCACTGTGGAGTAGTGCCACATACCAGGTGCCACCCCAAGAGAAGATGCACAGCCTCAGGAGAGGTCCCCTGTGGCGTTTGCCAGGAGGCCGACTCCAGCTCACCTTCCACACCCGTGGCTGCACTACCCAAGGCTTGATCGCAGGTAGATACGCTTATTCCTGAGTGAAGGACACTCCGGGGCCTCCTAGGGCACTCGCAGCCTTTTCAGGGCCCAGAAGACTGTCCTTCATCTGCACACTTAGCTGGTATGTGCAAGGACCCTCAAGGCCATAGGCAGGGGTGCCATAGGGGGACGGTGTCCTGAGGGCTGGGGACACAGGATCAGGTTGCATGAGGAAGGGATGCCAACCTAAGCATGCATGGTCCTCATGGCCTGGCCACCCCCAGCCTCCTTCCTGTAGCTACTTCCACTGCCTGACCACCTGTACCATCCAGCCCAGCCTGTCTCTCCCTGCCTTGGCACGCAGCCTCGCCCTTACCCTGGCAGACATCCCCCAGGGCTCATTCCTCCCCTGCAGGGCTCCCCATGCCTTGTCTGCTTCCCATGACACTGGACTTTCTTGGTCTGACCTCCACATGTGAGGGTCAGTTCCTCATAGGTGGGGCTCAGCAACCACTGATACAAGTAAATGCCAATCCCTGTCCTCAGTAGGGATGGGGGGGTTCCTACTGGGCCAGGTGCTGCCATACAAGAGCCATAGGACTGTCCCATGGGA